ATTCTGTCTAGACTCCTCCCAGGCAGGAATCTGGCAAGCTCTACCAAACCAGATGTGTTATAGAATGCACTGGGTTACTTTCTAGCTAGTATTTCAGTTAAGTAGCATTTTCAAAGGGCTATGACAAGACAGTTAATAAAAAAAATTTTAAATACGCTGGCTGTGTTTCACATTGTTTCTAGAAGAGGACAGTCTTTCAACATTTGTTGAATATTTCCAGCATCAGAGCTTTCACACCCAGGTGCTCTTTTGCTTGTATGGGGGGGAAAAAATAAGCAATTAAAAAAAAAAAAAAAAAAAAGAGAGCTGTATTTCCTGATATGCAGAACTATCAAAGATGAATAATTGGTGAAGTCCCCCAAAATAAATTAGGGGAACAGATCAGCAACAGAAAAAGGACTTTAAGGCAATAAGAGGCATTAGTGCCGCGATGCTCCCACGTTCCCATCCTGATGCACATTCAGCCACAAAGGATTCCTCTCCCCTGACCCCTCCCCAATTTCCTCCTCATCTGTTAACTGTCAGACTCTTCCTCCTTCTCCTCGTCCTCGTCATCGTCCTTTGTGTTGGCCTCAGATTTATCTGAAGACTCATGGAGAAGAACATATTCCCTGCTACTGAACCCAAACTTCAGTACGTCCTTCTCCTTCAGTTCGTAGTAACGCTGGGGTTCGATCCGCTGGTTATTCAGGAAAGTGCCATTCCCGGAGCCCAGGTCGATGATGTAGGGCCTCACCCTGCGGCCCACGGTGCCATCAGCACGAGTGTACTCCACCAGCCTGGCGAAACAAAAAGCACCCGTTCAACCACAGCAGCCAGAGGATGGCGCGCCCCAGGAGCGGGGGGTTTCCAGCGCACCACCCCTGCGTGGGCAATGCTCACCGCACCCGCCGGGATCCCAGCCCGTCTGATGGGGCAACGAGAGCCCGCGTGAGACTGAGCAGACCCTGGCAGACCGCGTCGCCTCTGGGGACGGGACACAGCGACTTCCCCAGCAGAGCAGACGGCCATGCCCTAAGGGAGCATCCTTGTCCCCAGCAGCAGGCAACCCCTGCAGTCCCAGAGGGGGTCAGCAGGCTTTGTTGTGAAAGACCACGGGAACCAAACCTCTCCTCCAAACACCCTTCCTGCCGACTAGCCCTGCCGGTTTACCCCACGCAGGTGCACCCGCAGTTTGGCGCTACGCCCCGCTGGGGTGTTTGTCTTACGAAAAGGCCGCTCGCGGTTAAGGGAGAGGAACCGCAGACATTGCGCTCGCTGCCAGGATGACTGGCGGCAGCCAAACGCGAACGCCATCTCTCCCTAATGTACCTACAGCAAACTTGGACCTCGCGACTCTGCGTACCCAGGGGTTTTTTGTTTGCTTGCATGCTTCAAAGGTCCTAAACAATCTCGTTCCACCAGCAGGCAGTTGATACTTACCGGTACTGAAACACAGCGTGCTGTTTCGAGCAGGAGGGGTGGTCGATGGGAATATCTGCGATTCGGCGGTGCCTGCCCAGCAGATAAGCACTCTGCCTGTGAATGTACATGACCGGGAGGAACTCGTCATTTTTGAAAGGGTAGAGGCGCCATCGCTTCTTTGGGATCCGAGCCTCGGGGGGCTCGCTGTACTTAATCACAACGCCTCGGAAAGTGTTGGTATCCTCCAGAAGCGCCCCAGACAGTTCAAAGCTCGGCTTCTCCTTGTTTACAGCAGCTTTCTCTTTAGGCTGGTGATCAGATTGCCCAACTTCTGGACCCTGGTCCACACCGCTGCCTTCGTTACTTTGTCGATGCTCTCGTCTCCTCTCGTTATAAAACTCCCTCTCCGCTTGCTGCTCGCGGATGGTCCGAGCATCCCTCTCTCGCTCGTGGCCTCGAACCCCAGGCCTTTCGCTTGGATTCTTCCGCCTGTCAGAGTGGTCTCTGTGTCTCTCTCTGTCACCACTTCTCTCCCTCCTGTGTTCTTGCTCTGACGGGTATCTCTGCTTTCGCTCCTCGTTTCCTCGACGACAGCGATCGTCCCGCTCCTGTAACGAAGAATCGCTTAGAGTGGCACGTTCAGAACTGGAATGGAAGAGCAGCAAAGCTACTTCGGCTTTTGAGAAAATCACAATCCTACACACAGAAAACGCGTACCTGGGTGTGCCACGTGCAGGGCTAACACAAAAGGACAGAAACTTATTTCCTTGCCAAACTACTCCCATTCCTACCATCTGCACTCAGTAAAGCAACAGTGAGAACCACCACGACGTCTCACTAGCTCTGGGCAGACAAAGCAGCTTGCAGGGACAGCCTGTTTGAGCAGCAGAGGACGGGTTCACACACACGTGTGAACACCCTGTCGCTCACAGTAACGCCAGGGATGGGGAGCATGAGCTACTGAAGTCGCCGAGACCCTCCTTTTCCCAACACCACACACGACGAGGACGAGGAGGAAATAACTACCAGGGAAAAAGTCGGTTTCCGTACCTCGCACGGCCAAGTCTGACCGGAGCAGCCGTCACTGCGGAGCCAGGAAGCGCGCACGGCCCCGCCAC